TTTAAGAAAACAAATAATGTGGTTTCATTTCAAAAATGGCTTTATTTTCCTTTTCTAATTGCCCATCAATTGATAGTAGCGTCTCAGATTTTAGACTACTCAGCTCTTAAGTAAATGACTTACAGAGTATTTCAGTAAACACTTTAATGAATATTTTGAACATATAGGGATTCCTTACCCCAGTATTTGTGGAGTATCCACTACACAGGCAGTCTGTTCTGTGATGGCGCACTTGAGCTTCCCGCCCTCAAGGAACTTGGGCTCATCTAGAAATAAGGCACCAGTGGTCACTTTGTAACATGAGTCATCACCTCCTAATACTCTGTAGAGTAAGTTGATCTTTTCGATGTCAGGATTTCTCAGGTCATAATACGATGTGATTATTTGAGCTTAAGCATAAAGCTTTAGAGAGCTCAGTGCCCGTCCTCAGAGTACTGGCTTGCAGAATACTCCTCTTAGTGCTATCTGGGCTGAAAACTTTCCCCGTAAAGCAGTTAGCCTCTTTGAAGAAGGGACGAATGTGCTGCTGACTTAGTCCACTAGACCAGCAGTCCTCAGTGTCCTCCACGGTGGGTGCAGAAAATCACGTGCAGCAGGCGTGCTCTGTGGCCGAGCTCCTGGCATGACCAGCTGTCCCAGTTTGCCCAGGACCAAGGAGGGGTTTTCCAGGACTTTTGGTGTCCAGTCTTCGACAGTCTCAGGCAAACCAGGATGGTTGGTTGCTCTACACACTCTTCTCTCAGTCTCCAGAGTGCAAAGGAGAACACCCGTGTTCAAACAGCAGAGAAGCTGCGGGGCTCTCCCCACCAGGAAGGGCCAGAAGGAGGCCGCACCCAGCTCAGTATGGCGTGTGCAGAGCCTCAGCTCGCGCAGCACTGCGAAGCAGGTCCTGGGGGGCGCTCATGTTCCGGGTGAGAAGGGAGGAGCCGCAAAGAGGTTGACTGATTGGCCCCAGATGGCACAGCTAAGTGTGGGCTCAGAGACACACTCTGGGATCTTCGTCAGATCCCATTGTCTCTCCCCTGTCCCTCTTTTCCTCTCCTTTAAAAAGTTCCGAAGACCAAGCAGAGACCTGCTGGTCTTCCTCTGCAGGTCCGGTTTCTGATCTGAGCCATCCTCACCTCTCTGACTGATTAATCAGGCTTGCGGGGCAGGGGGATTAATAACTAGTCTTTGATAAGAAGCCAGTGACTTGTAGTGTTTTAACTGCAGGGGGCACACAGTGGGCATGAATCTTGGTAACAAACTAAATGCCCAACAGTAGGAGTTGCTTTTATGTATCATTGTTCCTCCAATCAGTGAAATACTGTGTGGCCAGAACAAAAGTCCTTCATCTGAATTCTTAGGCTGGCCACAGAACCAGTGTTTCTCAAGTCACTGGGACTTGTTTTTCCTAACCAAGGAAAAGCGTGGTTACTTTCCAGTGTTCCCGCTGCCAGAAGTTTCCTTAGGAAAGTAGTTTGGGCACTTGCTTAGCCACAGCTCCAGGACTCTGGATCTCCTGCCCCTTTCTGGAGTGTGTCTGGTGACTGATCTCCTGCAGTGGAACTTGGTCTGGCCCCTGAAGGATGGTTAGAGGGTTTGGATGAGCAAGGAAGAGAGGAAAGATCTCAGGCAAAAGTGCTGGGATATGAGTGCAGACAGTGTGTTTACCAAGTGGGGAGGAGATGAATCATCGATTCAGTAAGGTTGAATCTCCCATATGCTGGATGCTGCACTAGGAACTGGAGAAGGTGAATGGGGTGGGGGGTCATCAGCCTGCCCCGGGAGCTCATGTAAGGCAGAGCTGAGGGTGCACCAAGGGGAAGAGGGCATGTCCAAGTATGTGTATTTCCAAGCACATTTCCTGTATATTTCTGTATTTCCAAGTGGATGTAAATGTAGATACATATACATAATTATAGCCAAATCTTTTGAGAGCTATACTTGCACATGCATTTGGAAAGGTGGATTGGACCGGGAGGATCTCAAATGCTAGACTAGAGGTCTCAGACCTCAGCCCATGAGAGACAGACAGCCATTGCACCATTTGCTCGGGCTTTTGAGCAAAGAACTAACAGGGAAGAGTGCTTTTCAGGAAGGCTGATATGTCATCCACACAAAGGATGCACTGACAGGAGGAAAGTCTAGAAACTGGGAGGTGAATTCACAGACTGTTCCCTTCAATCAGTAGCTGTTGTATCCCCACTTCATTTACTTAACAGATCTTGGTGGTGTGACATCCTTGTGGCTGGCCCTGGGCTGGGCACCAGGGGGACAGCGGTGAAGAAGAGGGGCCTGGCCCTCTGGGACTGGATATTCTGTGTGGGCGGCAGTAGATCAGTGCGGCCGTGACGCATGCTGGGAAGGAAGTAATCAGGGACGGAGAGGACCTGCCCTGAAGCGGGAGGGCAGGGATGATATTGGCCAGGAAGCCTGAGTGGGAGAAGGGGCCATCTGTGTGGAGCAGAGGGACCGGAGGTTTTGGAGAGAAACCAGCATGGACAGATGCCTCGAGGCTGCAGAGAAGCTCTGAGGAAGTGAGAGCACACAGACATGTGTTCGGAAAAGCAGGAAGGGTCCAGGAGCTGCTGAGCCCTGGCGGCCACCAGGAAGAGTCTGAGCTGTCTCCTGAGAGCTGTAGGAAGCCAGGGGAGCACTTTAGGCATGCCCAAATGGGTGTTTGGGGACAGTTGCTCAGGCTGCTGTCCCGCAGGGCTTTGGAGGGGCAGATGCTAGAAGCAGGGAGCCTGGTGTGCTTGGCTGGGCCTCAGGAGGTGAGGACAGGGAGTGGGTGCCACCACTGGGAACAAAGAAGGAGGACCCGTCCAAGGGGCAGGAAGAACAGAACACGGACTCTGGCTGGGGCTGACAGGTGGATAGGGAGGTGAAGGGTGGGAGCACCGAAACTCGATACCACAGTTTCCAGGCCCAGTGACTGGGAGGACCTCGGTCTCCTGATTGCAAAGCTTGGACAAGTACTCTTTCCCTCACCGCTCTCCCTTCCATTTGCAACCCTGACCCAAACCTTCAGGGGTCTCTTAGATCCTAGATCAGTAACACTGCTTGAGCTTTTCCGATGTGCGGCTCACAAGGTGCCTTAGACGTGTTTTGTCATGTGTGCCTCAAAGCATCCCCAGAGGGAGCTCTTGTTATTATCTCTGTACTCCACATGAAGCATCTGGAGCTCAGCAAGGTGAATAAAACTTCCTCAGGTCACACAGCTTCCCTAGGGCAGGGTCTTGGTTAAGGCAGGATTCAATCTCTCTAAAGCAATCTCTCTTCCACCATACTTCAGCCTCCCCTGACACCGTCCCCTCCCAACAGGGTCCCAGAGGTCTTTCCAGTCGCCCCCACCCCTCCTAGCCTCTCCTTCAGACTGACCACTTGCCTTTGCTGGAAGCATCCGTTAGGGCCTTAGCCCCTGGCTTGTGGCTCCTGGTGCCCTTTATCTGGGGAGACTGAGGTCTGCCATCTAGTGGCCATTGCCTTCCTTTTTCTACAGAGCTTTTAAAAGAAAGGAAACGGGGAGTCTTCACCTACAAGACAGGCCTGCATATTTATAGCATCACACCCTGTAAACAGGAAACTTCTCAGCCTTAGAGAAGGAGCCCAGTAACATAAACATAACATATTGCCAATGAGTTCCTCCACCCATTCAACAAACACTTAAATGTGTATATATATGTGTATATATATACACACACATACACATATATAATAATATATTCATTCCACTGGAAAGTATGCTTCCTGAGATAAGGAGTTCTTTTGTCTGTATTGCTTGTTAATGAATCTCAAGAGTCTAGAACAGTGGCATTTGCATAGTCGACATACAACAGGTGTTTATTGAAAGTCGAATAAATGAATACTTTGCACTTACTACATCTTTACTATACCAGGCACTTGACATGTGCGTTTCCATATTTAATTCTAGTGACAATTTGGGACCTAGGGGCTGTCAGGACGCCCATTTCTCCGATGTGGAGACAGAGGCACAGAGGGATAAAAAGCGATCCGGGTTTGAGGAGAGCTGGCTTTTGACTCAGGTTTTCTGACTTTAGAGACCCTGTGGTTAGTCCTGTGCGGAGTGCTTCTTGTGTACATCTGTGTGCCAGGCCTCACGTATAGTGTTGTCACCATTCGCACCCCCTGGAGATCACTGGCTATTCCACTACCATGCAGTGACTCTATTGAATGAAGTTTCCCTTCCCACAGTGCCATGACAGAGGCAGTTTATTGAGGGAATTCAGGAAAGGCTGGTTGACCAACAGTGACCAACAGTGAGTTCCTGTCACTAGCTAGCTCTCTGGCTGTGTCACCTTGTACAGCATCCCCAGACCTCAGGTCCCACATTGGTCAAAGGAAGAGGCTGAGTTAGGATCCCTGCCTCCCCTTCCAGCTCCAACATTTTTCCTGTTCCTGTGACTCCCAGGGAGCCGGATGTGAGTGGAAGAGAGAGGACCACTTGTTACTAGGCAACCAGTACCCACCTCACCCATGTTGCCATGGTGATGGTGAAAGTTGGGCTGATGGGATTACCAGCTCCTGCTAATTGCATATGAGAGCTTAAGGTCTCTGTCTCTTTCTTGCTTGCTCTCTCCATCTTACTTTCTTATTCTTCTAGAAACTGTGGAGAGATCTCTTCTCCTCCATCTCCAGTATCCTTGAGAGAGCCACAGTGCAATGGAAAACAACTGGAAATGGAGCCTGGTTGTGCCTCTGAGTAGCTGTGTGACCTTGGGCAGGTTACTCGGCTTCTCTGGGCCTCCATTTGCCCATTTAGAAAATGAAGGTGTTGAAATAGTGATCCCTGTCTAAGGCGCTTCCCGGCTCTCAAATCCTTTGATGCTTAGGGAGCATGTCAGGGGAGCAGACCACACTGTTACTAGGCAACCAGCAGGCACCCTGCCCAAGTTGCCTTGGTGACTGGATGCTGGAAGGGAGGGGAATAGCTGCTGCAGCTAATTGCTTAATTATTTATGAGTGCCTCAAGTCTTTTTTGTTGTTTTCGTTGCTAGGGGCTGTGGGGTCACCTTCTTTTCCGCTCTCCTGCCACCCCAAGTCGTCTGAGTTGCGTGTTACGCAGTGGGAGAGAACGTTGGCCTGGATCTCAAGCTGCCCACGTTCTAGTCCTGCCTCTGTCATTTCCTAGATCTGTGGCCTCGGGTAAGTCATCTCACCTCTCTGGGCCTCAGTTTCCTCATTTGTAAAATGATGAGTGTGCTTTGATAATCTCCAAGTTCCCTTTCTACCCTGAAATTCTAATTCTTGCTGTCCATTTGCAAACTGGGAAAGATGAGGGGAATTTTCCTAATTTGTTATCTTCTAAAGATGATTCTGAAGAGCAATAATAATAATTAAATCTCTTACACATTTCAAATAGGAAGGGAATGAAAGTAATGACCATTGTTCGCATCTTGCTTCTTAACTTAGTCATGTTGCCTGATTTCTTTTATTAATCTTAAGGTCATTTAAATTTTATATTTTTGTATATCGCCTCCTTCCAAAATAGATTTTTCACAATATAAGATGCATATATGCAATTGGATCATTAAAATAAAAATAAGAATATATTAATATAAAATAGTGACGCTTTTTCATTGGCGAATATTGATGTTGTAACTGAACATCAAATTAATTTTGAGCATCCTGGAAGCCAAAGCAAAAAGAGAGAGAGGTACGTAACTGTTACTCCATAAAGAAAAATTGCCAGACTGTTCCTAGTTCTAAATTCTGAAAGTAATTTATCATGAGGTGCACTTTTAAAATAAAACTTTTAAAATAACCCTTTCTTGCTGAGAGTATTGTTACAAGACATAAGGGAGAAGCTAATCTTGACAGTTTGAGTAGTTCTAGTCAGGAGAAAGCAAAAACTCCCTTTCTACCAATGCCTTAGAATTTTATAAAGATTAAAGATGTGCCTAAGTAAATATAAAATTTAAGAATCAGCCTTTTTTTTAATAAATCAGTTATGTGTAAATGTCTGTAACCATTTTGCACAGTAAGTTAGCAATGTGTATCAAAATTTTAGACACAGGCAAAAATTCTACTTCTCTAAACTTGTGAAATAAACTTGTGCAATAAGGAATAATATTAAGTATAAAAATGCTTACAGTAGCATTATTTATCAAAGAAAATGACTACAAACCAAGTAAATCTTGAGGGTTAGTGAATTAAATTATATTACTTCTTTAGAATGGATTACTTTACAGTCCTAAAAATGAAGTAGATTTTTATGTTTTGATATGAAAAAAAAATCTTGAAATATGTAATGTTAATTAAGATAAGGAGGTGCAGCAATGATATAAAATGCTTCTATTTCCTTATAAAGATATTGGTAGGCGTACAATTTATATATCTAGATATATGCTTTTATATGCATGCTTACATTTTTCCGGAAGTAAACTGTTAACAGTGGTTTCCTCTGGGCAAGAAGACTGATAGCAGCCTTGGGAGGGAGGAAGACTTACTATTCATTTTCTTATTTTTAACTTTGCGGACCTGTTCGTTTTTCAGTTAGAGAGGCAGTCAAGACCAGCAAGTGGAAGCATAGACTCTGAAGTCTGAATACCTGTGTTTAATTCCTGGCTTTATCACTTACTAGCTATATGACCTTGGGGTTAATTTAACTTCTTCATTTTTTATTCATTAAATGTGCTAATGATCTTCCTCACTGGATTTTGTGAGGATTAAATGAGTTAATAACTATAAAGTGCTCAGAGTACCCTAAACAATGCTATATATGCATTTTCTTAGAAAAAAAAAAAGAAAGAAACAGAGAAATTAAACAAACAAAAATGCATCTAACCAAAAGAGCCCCTTGTATCTCAGAGCTGGAAGGACTTTTACATATGTTACTACTTCCAGCATCATATGTTGTATAAAAATTATGTTTGAAGCAGGGGTAGCAAGGCAGTGGTCTTGTTTTCATGGTTGGTTGTCGATTCTGAACTTGAATACGTTTTAGGGAAGGCACCTACCCTAGGATTCATAATAGGTGTTTACCATGCCTGTGAAGCCCCTGAACCCATCTGGTCTCGCAGCTTCTGTTCTAGTCCATCCTAGAGAATGCTTAAGCTAAGAGCAGAGTGTGTGCTAGGTCCGGTAGAAAATCTTTGAGGGGATGGAACTGTACATCCACAACTGGTAAAGGCCAGAGACGGACTATCCAGACATTCAAGCTTAAAGAGGGTGTCTATGCCCAGTTATGATACATGGGCTCACATGCCCTCCTGCCTCTCCTTTCTTTTGAAAGAGAGAATGATGGACACCTGGCAAGGGGCTTGTGCTGGGAGGATCCCTCTTTGGGCTCAAGAATCTTATGGCCATAGGGACTTCCTCTGTATTCAGAGGTGCAGAAGTGGAGGGCTTTGTTCAAGACTGCCAGGTTTCCTCCTCCTCCCTTGTGGGTACTTTGGGGCAAGTGTGGGGAACTTGGGATGACTTTGGGAACCATCATTTAAAGTTGGTCACAATCTGGGCACATCACATGATGGTCCCTTCAAATCAGCCAAGTTAGGAAACGTGCAAAGCTGACCCGTAACCACTTCATGCCCCAGTCCAGTCAGTGGTCCTGGTTTGTCTGTGTGACCCATTCTTTCTGCCCTCTTGGGCACTCCAGTCTCTATTCATTTGACCAGCGGTTCTCCTGGCATCTATCTGACACAGCCAACTGTGCTTCCATCTGCCCTTCCATCCTTCCATCCCTCCATCCCTCCTCCAGCCATCTGCCAGCTTTCCCACCCTTCCTTCAGACTGCCGGTATGTCTGTCCACCTCCCCTTCCCTCCCACCTTGTGGGTCTGAGACTCCATCCACTGGACCCTCCCTCCCTCTGCCGGTAGCCCACCCATCCTTGTGGCCCACCTGCCTTCTGGCGGCAGAACCTACAGGTTGACCCTTCCTCTGTTCCCCCCACCCCGTAGCCTGGAATCCT